GCCAGCTCACTAACAGTTGCGGGAGACCCCCAGCTAACACCACCTAGCAGCACAACTCGTAACTACAAAGCATGCGAGCGCAACAGGTCGGTTCCGGTTATTTTTGGGTCCCCCTTTGTACATGTTCAATACTTCTGACAGCCTGTTTAAGTGGCTTTTATCAAATGCCATTCACTGTTCCAGTGATATGGAGACAACTGAAAAACAATTTTACAGGTTGTAATTTCTACTTAACCCACATATTAGGGATTACTGTGAAGTCTAAGCATATGGTACAATGCCAGAAATTTACCCTCAGCTATAAAGTATATTTTATAAAGTGAAGATTTTAAAACACCAAAGCCACCAGAAATGCGGTGTACAGGTGGTTAAAATAAATGTGACATAACATGTAATGACAAAGCTCAGTGGGGATTACGTGTGGGAAATCCATATGCTTTTGATTCACTTTTAAAGCACGGGAATTCCTCAGGCACACATTGCAGTCTTGACCACGATAGGAATTTGACAAAAACGAATCTGAACTTTTGGATTCCAGATTGAAAGCTGCATTTCTCAAGAAAAGGCAGCAAGATACTGTAATGTGTTTTTGCCACTGAAGATGCCATTCAGATTGTTAATTGGTTTATTTAACAAACTACAAGTCTTGGCTACAATTAATTAACACTCTTACGGGTTTACACACTTTACAACCCTACACACTCTATCTTCAGTAGTCTACACGTATTCACAGTAGGATACGGGAGTTATACAAGTGTCAATGTATCACACAATCACACACTCCCAATCATTTCTCTTGTGAGCCAAGCATCTACTTCTCACGCTATCACTTCTAATCACACGTTCCGGTATTATTCTTTCCGCTACCACTGCTAGATTCCAACTGTCTTCGGCGGCTGCTACACTTTAACTCGCTTCATAGGCAGTGTAGTTCTCTTATAAACCCTCAGCCGGACAACAGGAAAACGCCTTGCTTCCTTGTTGCCTAGTCGCATGTTTACCGGCGTTGCTGGGCTTCGCTGCCGGGAGTTGTTTACGGCTATGTAGCAACTGCAGCGTCCCGTGTTATGTCACCGCGGGGAAATGGGTGTTGACTGGCCTATTACTGTAGCAATGGCAACGCTCCAAAGGTGTTACATCACCACTGGCGGGGGAAGGGGAAGGAGTGTTGACTTGCCTGTTACCGTAGTAACGACAGCGCTCCGATGCCACCACGTCACCACTGGGGAGGGAGGGGGTGTCTTCCATAGTGCAGCATGTCACAATATCTTTGTTCTTCTAGAACAGGGGTCTCCAAACTTTTCGAAACGCGGGCCACATTAGGTAATTCAGCACTTCCAATGGGCCGGATAAAATGAGAAATTAATAACTCTAGGTATATGAGTTTTATTGAAAGCAAAGAATTTCATAAACTAAATACAAAGTACGTGAGAATAAATTATCGTACATTAATGACAACAGACAGCAGCAAATGCTCATATTTTCATCACAAATTATAAAAGAAAACAATTAATGTGAATGATGGAACTCTTTTTGCATTCTTAAAATCTGATTAAATTGAGGTGATGATCTGTTACAATTACACTGCACCACTGCAAGAAGTCTTGTGCATAAGACTGCTAGTAACGAACTGCTCGCGCTACTTACATTGCCATGAAGTGACACTGCCGATCGAGGACGGACAAGTACGAAGAAATACCGCGCAGTACACGGTCCATAATTAGTAAAATTGCGAATAATATTAATATTAACAGTATGGAATATCAGTATATTTTAAACACAATCTTAATTAATGAATTTGAAATCTATGAACAAGTATTTTTTTTTACCAGTACTCATTGGAAAATTAGTTCAATTGGCACATTTCTGCACAGTTCTTTCGTGGGCCGTAGTTTGGAGACCCTTGTTCTAGAATAAAGACTTTTTAACATTTTTTCCCACGAAGGCTATTTAGCGTACAATAATAATGTGGCCCCTTTCATGGAAATCATTTAAAGGAATCATGATAATATGCACCTGCCTACAAAATACACTGATATGATAAATATCTGTGGCATATCTGTTGTTTCCTGTGAATGGTACAGCCAAGCAGGGGAAAGTTATTACTCAGAGAAACACTGAGTGCTTTGACAGGCATGAATTCCATGGCTAAATATGTCATTAGTCAATCCAGGAAAAGTTTTCTTCCTGCCACTGCATATTAAATTTGGTTTAATGGACAATTTTTGAGGCTATGGATCAAAATCACAGTGGGTTTCTCTATTTGAAACAGAAACTTTCAAGAATCAGTGAGGTTAGAAGGATAACAGGGATATATGCAATGTAACTGATGAAACTTAATTTGATAATGCAGCTCAGAGAGCATTTAAAACAGTGACTACAAATTTCCTTGGAAAGTTGAAGGCAGAAAATGGCATGTCACTTGTTGAAGGACTTCTCAGCATCTACAAACTTGTGTGCTGTTAATAATGAACATGGGGAATGCTTTATCAAGAAACAATGCCAGGGTAAGTGGAATCCCAGCATACTGACTACTGCTAGCCATTGGTAAGGTATGCTCCCTGTGTGAAATTCAATCATTGATCATTTTAAAAACCTACAAGATCCACTCATTTTTGTACATGTGATAAAAGAGGGTACTGAGTAAGTATGACATGTTTCTCATTATAACAGTAGTTATGAACTAGCACATTACAGCGAAATGCATGGCTTTTAAACCTGTTTGCCCACTGCTTTCCCCTAACATGATGGCCACAGACCATGAAGAATAAATACCACAGTAGATACTAAAACTCCACAGAGAAATGCCTTTCTTCATCCTTGTGGTCTACAGAATGTGTGAATAAATAAATGAAATCAAAAATAAATGAACAACCATCAGACATTTCTTAGGCAGCGATGAATCCAGTGGGGTGACCTAATTAGGTTGGCCAAGTGGCAGTGTAATAATTAAGTGACAATGATGGTCATTTGGCTAGCTGACCATGTATTCCAACCACACAGAGCAAATACTTGCTACAGAATTTGAAGAGCTGGTGAATATAAGCCTAATCAGCATAGCTTCTAGCAGCAACCAGACAAAGTGTGTCAACCCAAATCAATGAGTTCTTGTACTCTTGTTATCTGATATTACAGGCCAATGTTCCAAGACCATGAAACAGTACAGAATAAGAAAAGCACACCAAAGTTAGGGAAGGCATGGAGATTATGCAGTAGTTTCTGATGTTGAAGTGACACTGGGAACTCAATGATTTATGTAACAATAGGGACAAATATTACATTTTTAATTGAAGACAAAACTACAAGGGTGTGACAGGTCCTTGGGAGAGATGACCACATTTGGTTGCATAAAATTCCCTCCTGGTGAAAATTTTATTTTTATACCAGAGTTAAATAGGTTTAATTTGGCATTTATCCAGAGAAGCATTTTATCTTATGCTATTCAAACCTGTAATACTCATAATGTTGGTAGCAGAACAATAAGGGTTGAACTATAAATGACACAAATTCCGTCCCAAGTGCAAACAATATATATTATATGTTTTGATCTTGTTCTTTCTACACTACATGTTTCGGCCTCTATCGGCCATCATCAGGTGTATACTCTTAACGTTGCTGCCACACTGACCCCAGTCTAAAATTTAACATTTAAAAACACAATGTCATATTCTTCGTATTATCAACATCTACATCGTTGATATATGTCTGGTATGTAGATTATGTTGCACACGTCAAATTTGATATTCTTGTAGTAGCACTTTAAAAATCTTTAGTTATGATGTTTTTCAAACCTTTTAAATTTTCTCTAAATTTTAAATTTAAAATTTAAAATTCTTAGGGTTACACGCCCTATGTCTAAGTGCTGGAGCGGCTAGTTCTTGTTTTCACACTNTGTAACCCTAAGAATTTTAAATTTTAAATTTAAAATTTAGAGAAAATTTAAAAGGTTTTAAAAACATCATAACTAAAGATTTTTAAAGTGCTACTACAAGAATATCAAAATTTGACGTGTGCAACATAATCTACATACCAGACATATATCAACGATGTAGATGTTGATAATACGAAGAATATGACATTGTGTTTTTAAATGTTAAATTTTAGACTGGGGTCAGTGTGGCAGCAACGTTAAGAGTATACACCTGATGATGGCCGATAGAGGCCGAAACATGTAGTGTAGAAAGAACAAGATCAAAACATATAATATATATTGTTTGCACTTGGGACGGAATTTGTGTCATTTATCGTGTAGAGTGCAACAGGATGCTTAAATATAATATTGTAAAGGGTTGAACTGTTGGCAAATGCTGATTCTGCATGTACCTGTAGTATTTCTTTGTATTGAAGCTGAAAATGTCAGGAACCTTCAGTTGAGTAAATAATTGATGTACTGTGCCATTACTGTAGTTTGCCAATCAGTGCAATCTGACATGTGGTTAAAACTTACATAAGTGTACATCTATAAAGACTGCAAGGATGAAGTAAGACATTTCTTCCTTCATTTACAAATTATTACTGTGGTCAGCTTCAGAACAGCTTCATTACATTTAATATTTACAGTAAAGTGAAAATATGCAATGCTCCAGTTTTACAATGAACACTAACAGACAGTGTCACTAACTCTGGCAAAGGTCTGAGTCAATGTATTTCTTTAATAACCATGTATACATTAATATGAGAAGTGTCTGTGCTGAGCACCACATACAAAGACTTCAAAACTCTTCAGAGCTAACACAAACAGATCCTGTACACAGAAAAATTACTTAACTTGCTCATCAGTAATTGGGAAGTGTTACATTCAGTTAGCAGGAAACCATATACAGTTCTTGATGTTTTCTATAACCCTAGATACTCTTATATTGTAAGATAATAGTAAAGCAGCCCCCACTCTGTAAGTTGTATGGAGACAATGAAGTAATGGTCTACACATTCAGATTTTAGCACTAGAAAATGGTCAGTATCTACCAGACAGGCTGCACATGCTAGACATTCATTCTTAAACAAGTCATATTTGCCTAAATATCATGCTCCAGGATTGAATATATGTGTAATCGGGCTTAACTGCCGTTTCCTAAATGCATTAGATGAAGCTGACCTCTCCAACCTAGCTTTGTTCTGCACAGATTTCTTCATCTTGATAGTTTATATTCCAGTGCATATATCAGTAATCGGCATAATGAGGTGTAATATAAAACAAAAAATCACACAGACAATGACTCGTATGTATCAAGAATTGTGTTTACTATCAACTCTTCTCTTATTTGTCTCTTGCTTTTCTCCATCATACTGAACACTGTATGTATCATTCCTGGTTCTTTTCCTGTTCGATTCTGAGATGTTAGGATAGTTTCTTTTCCGAACTGAATATTCAGAGCAATGTTTAATCAGTTCAGATTTCTTCATTTTACGTTCTTCTTTCAACTTATTGGCATTTAGTGTGTACTGAATCACATTAGACAAAAAGCGCTTGTTTGTGGGAGGTAGGGGACATTTCTGCCATGCCAAAGCACCACCAACAGCTGCCCTCAAGGCACCTCGTCGTGCTTCCCGCAGAAGTTCTTCCTCAGCAAGTCTGAAATATATAACACACCATACATACAACTGTAATTCAGACACTTTCAAGAATGCCTCTGTTCATAATTATGGATTTTAACATTATACATAATCTCCACATCTGAAATACAGGTATCTGTTTCACTTGATTGGAAATTGGAACTACATATAACTTAAAGCAGTATTAGACAAGTGACAGTGTATGCCACTGGTCCATTAATATGATTCATCTGCTTCAATTCCTTTACCAAATTATATCTTCACCAAAACATATTACCTACAATAAATTCACCATCACTGAAAGATTCAGTCTATAAACTGATATCCCGTCAGGTATTAGAACCTACAGCTTCCTATGTCTTCAGTTGTCTTTCCAAACTTCTCTTCCCCCTTATCTTGTGCCCTATAATCTGCTTCACTAGTCTGTTTTGTACCATTGTTCTTATATACGAGTATGTTAGAGTAAACTCATGAATCAGCTCCTATCAGATGTTACTAGTAAAAGCTAGACAAAACTAGCATTCCCTCGTGAAAGCCCAGAGCTACTACTGCTGTTGGTAAAAATCCAAATATAAGTTTTAAAAACTTTATTTTATTGCTCTTTTCATTAAGACTAGTTCTTACAGCACCATTATATAGAAGCAGTTCAGGTTTTTGTCATTACAAAGAAATATCCCAAATGTATTGTATGTATTAGGCCTTTTGTCTTTATAAAGTAAAGGAATGTCTTACATGGAGGTCATAACTGTCCACCTGTGACTAGTCCCAGCACTTAAATCATTGGCCAGATTTTTTTTTTAAATTTTAGGTATGAAGTTAAAGGCTAGACGAGTTACAGTGCCCTGCTCCTGTCACAACATGACCCATCACACCTAATCAGACCACTAATCATATCTCCTCTTGTGTCTGTCAATTTCTGTGGTTTCTAGAGCTGTAATTAGATACATGAAGTTCTGTAGGTAGGTACAAAATATTTGTGTTAAATGTTTTGCAAATTTATATGCAGGTGTGTTCTTCCAGTGGATTATTGGTCGGATGGGTGTATATTTGGTTTGTGTAAATTTATTGATAGAACAACAGAATATACTTACTAATGGAGCTGAGCCCTTCTTGGGGAGCTGACAATTCTGCAGCTACTCAAGAATTTCCCAGAATTTTATGGAACCTGAAGGTTCATTACCATGTTCACAAGAGCCCTTCACTGGTCCTATCCTGAGCCAGACCAATCCAATCCATCACATCCTATCTCTCTCAGATCTATTTTAATATTGTCCACCCACCTACACCATAATCTTCCCAGTGGTCTCTTTCCTTCTGGCTTTCCTAATATCCTATATGTATTCCTTGTTTCCTCCATTCGTGCTACATACTCTGCCCATCTCATCCTCGACTTGATAATTCTAATTATACTTGGAGAAGAGTACAAGTTATGAAGCTCCTCATTATGCAGTTTTCTCCAACCTGTCACTTCATCTCTCTTCAGTCCAAATATTCTCAACACCCTCAGTCTATGTTCCTCCCTTAATGTCAGAGACCAAGTTTCACACCCATACAAAATATACATGAAATATTTATCTTATAAATAAAACATTAATATAACCCATTACATACACAACACCATGTTAATCCAAATAACGTAAAATAAAATATTTTAGAAGCATTTTACACCAAAATGAAAAGCACAGCAGCAGGTTCCTTTTATCAAACATCTTATACCCCGGATGGCCAGTTAGGCCAAAACATGAGTGTTCTATATTGAGGACAGATGAAGTCAAAGTGTCAATATATCGACAAAGTTAGAATGCTACAGTATAATATTATAAAGAGTTCATCATTAGCGGTCTTCACGGTAATTTTCTATTCAACAATTCAAATTAACATGAATTACATATACATAATTACATCAGTAAATGGTCAGAAACAGTTTAGTTATGCTTACAATTCTTTCTTTATGCATTTTTATTTACAGTTTATTTAATGTTACTGTCAGTAGTTCCATAAATTTACTTGGAAATCTCCTAATGGGAAGATACACAATCAAATAGACCATATTTTGATAGATAGGAGACGGCACTCAGGTATACTTGATGTCCGATGATTCAGGGCAACAGATTGTGATACTGACCACTACCTGGTGGTGGCAAAGGTTGGGGAAAGACTGGCAGTGAGCAAACAACACACACAGTTCATATGGAGAGGTTCAATCTCAAGATATTAAATGAGGTAGAGGGTAAAGAGCAGTATTGTGTTGAAATCTCAGATAGGTTCACAGCTTTGGAAAACTTGGAAACTGAGGTGGATGTTAATAAAGCTTGGGAAACTATTAGAGAGAATATAAAAATGTCTGCCAAAGAGAGTCTAGGTTATTATGAACCGAAGAAGCATAACCCATGGTTCGATGAAGGATGCTCAAAATTATTGGATCAAAGAAAGCAGGCCAAATTGCAGTGGTTACAGGATCCACGCAAGTTAAATGGGGATAATATGAACAATATAAGACGTGAAACCAGCAGGAATTTCAGGAACAAAAAGAGGGAATATCTGAAAGACAAAATTGATGAGCTTGCAATGATATCAACTTCATATAAAATTTTGTCCAATATTCTTCTTTCAAGGTTAAGTCCAAATAGATGAAATTATTGGGGATCATCAGTGTGGGTTTTGACATAACAGATCAACTACAGATCAGATCTTTTGCATTCGTCAGATATTGGAGAAAAAATGGGAGTATGATGAGACAGTACATCAGCTATTCATAGACTTCAAGAAAGCCTATGATTCAGTTAGGAGGGAAGTATTGTACAATATTCTAATAGAATTTGGGATACCCATGAAACTAGTTAGGTTGATTAAAATGTGTTTAAACGAAACGTATAGTAAAGTCTGTGTAGGTAAACATTTGTATGATAAATTTCCTATCCCAAATAGTCTAAAACAAGGAGATGCTTTATCGCCACTCCTTTTCAACTTTGCCTTAGAATATGCAATTAGGAAGGTCCAGGGAAACCAGATGGGACTGAAATTAAATGGGACACATCAGCTGTTGGTCTATGCCAATGATGTGAATCTACTGGGTGATAATGTAGATACCATAAAGAAAAACACACAAACTTTAATTGACACAAGTAAAGTGGGTGGTCTAGAAGAAAACACAGAGAAAACTAAGTATATGTTACTGTCTCATCACCAAAATGCAGGGCAAAATCATGACATAGAGATAGGAAACAGATGTTTTGAAAATGTGGCACAGTTCAGATATTTGGGAACAATGATAACATCGAAAACTGATTCAGGAGGAAATTAAGAGGCGATTGAACTGGGGTAATGCTTGCTATCATTCAGTCCAGAACCTTTTGTCTTCTCGTCTGCTGTCCAAAAACATAAAAATTAGAATATACAAAACTATAATTTTGCCTGTGGTTCTGTATGGGTGTGAAACTTGGTCTCTGACATTAAGGGAGGAACATAGACTGAGGGTGTTGAGAATATTTGGACCAAAGAGAGATGAAGTGACAGGAGGTTGGAGAAAACTGCATAATGAGGAGCTTCATAACATGTACTCTTCTCCAAGTATAATTATAATGATCAAGTCAAGGGGGTTGAGCTGGGCAGGTCATGTAGCACGAATGGGGGAGACGAGGAATGCGTATAGGATATCAGTGGGAAAGCCAGAAGGAAAGAGACCACAGGGAAGACCAAGGCGTAGGTGGGTGGACAATATTAGAATTGATCTTAGAGAGATAGGATGGGATGGTATGGATTGAATAGAACTGGCTCAGGATAGGGACCAGTGGAGGGCTCTTGTGAACACGGTAATAAACCTTCGGGTTCCATAAAATGCTGGGAAATTCTTGAGTAGCTGCAGAATTGGCGGCTCATCCAGAAGGGCTCAGCTCCATGAGTAAGTAAGTCAGTAGTTGGCACTACTGTATACAGCATCAAATAGCTGATTACTGTAAAGCAGATTGGAAGAGACTACAAGGAAACCTAAGGTACTTTCAAAGCTTTTGCCTAGAGTGAGTAAACCATGAGAAATCTCAGAACAGTAAGTTTACCAGCCAAGATATGAACTCCTTCCAGATAGATGTGAGAAGTATTACTGGCTGAGCCAATTTCTTTATGTGAGAGCTGCCTGCTGTTGACAGAAGATAACTGTTTACAAATTGATCATAAATAGTTTAACTGATGAAGACATTGTGGGAACTTGGTCTTTAATGAAAAAGCAATAAATACTAGCTGTCTTTTATCAGAGATTACCAAACATTGTATTCTTACTTAGCATGGCAGATAGACTGTGCATTTGAATTTCCTCATTTCCCTCTGCCAGATAAATGGACAGAATTTTATTTAATAAAATGTTCCTATTGCATGGGAAGTGCAGATAATAATAAGTTTTTTAATGTTATATTTTAGCGTCCTGTTGCACTGATTTAAGTCCATGATTTATTTAATCCGTCTTGCAGTGCATACACTCATTTATCTCCTCCTCTCCTTCGCACTACATGTTTCGGCATAATAATGCCATCTTCAGGTGCTTACTTATCCACGTCAAACCAGTTCATTGCATGCCATGTTCACACATTAAAATAACTAAAATATGTATCTATAATATACATTGTCAAACGTTAAAAATATTAGAATTGTTCAGGATACCACATCGCTACGTCGACGTTCACTGTTTAGCAGCAAATCCATAGAAAACGTCTGTGAATATCTGCTTAGCAAAGTATACTGTCATGCACAGATGTACCAAAGGCCCAAGACATTTGAGAATTATATCCCTACCATGCATGTGTGATCAAAAATGAATCCACAAAAGACTCTGATATTGCCTCTCGTTTCAAAACCTATTTGAGATGGTTCAGCCATTCCAGATGAAGTTTGAGGCTCAGTTCCATATCAGTGAATATGCCAAAGTAGACTAGTATGGAATCCTCTTAAGAGCATTGAACTGCTTAACCTTTTGTTGCCCTGTAATTGTACTTGTATGAAAGGAAGTAAATCTACTACATAGCTGTATAAAGGGGTCTGATGTTACCCCACTGTTGCATGGAACTGATGTTAAGAGTTGCAGTCACTGGAGCCAGACTGGACAGCACAGCAGTGAATTTAAGCATGAATAATGGTGGTTGAAATGAGGGCTGAGTGCTTATTTTACACAGAATAATGCCACAAAATGAGTTCTGTCACTCTGTACAAATAAACATTAGATTTTGGAATAAAGTAGTACTAATAATGATGGTAGTAAGACTAGCTGTATGGTAACACTTTTATTTTGCATAACTGTTTAACTTCAAGCCTTACCAACAACTAAATGCAGTAAAATGCCATTGTTTTGGAACCCATCTCCATCTCTACCATCAAGGATAGACATAATGTGTCAAAAATTGAAAACACATATTGGTTGTTGCCATAAACACCAGCCCTTCCCTAAGAAAATGCAGTAGTGTACTATGTATATACCACATTAAATTTTGGCATCTGTTGACAAGATTACACATTATCATTGCCTGAGCTCTCACCACTAAGAAAACCTGAAAACATGCACTGTACTGCATATGTTCTAACAAATTTTGACATTAAATAATATAAAGAACCCATAATTAGTACTACTCAGAGTACTCAAAATACAGCAATATATCACTCCATGAAATGTGACATGATAACTGCATTATCACAATTCTCAGGAATAAAGAGAACTCAATTTTGAATGTGTCAGTGTACAAAACGTATTTCAAAACGCAAATGGAAGGATAAAATTACCCAAACACAAACCACTGCATATGGTAAATTACAATGTATTTTTTTAATAAGGTTAGTGGGTGAGAGGTTATCGTTAAGGCAGGTTTACGTAAAATTTGGTAACGAAACGAAATCGTGACTTGAATGTATATAAATGATCGCCTTTCACGGACCGATGCCTACTGCATTAAATTTTTGTGCATTTCCAGATCTTCTGTGATGTTTTATATATTAACTGATGCAAAAGCCACAGTTAGAAATCTCGTATACGGTGGACCGGAATGCACTTCCCAACAGCCTAAACTAACAATTTTTGGGGACATAACATAATGAAACGGGCATCTATAGTTAACAGAGCTGTTGATATAACAACTTACATATATGGCATAGTCTTAACTTACTTCTCTAAATTTGATTTATCACTCATCCTTCCACAAACTTAAGCTGCAGACAAATACAGACTCCCTCTCGTTACGCTCGTTACCCAAGTAACAGCTCGTAACGATGGGTTATCAACACGCTAGATTAGTAAGGGGCGTGAGGGCGAGAGCACACCAAGCAAACTGTCAACCACAATTTCCGAGAATTATCACCCCGAGTTGAACACATGGTAGCGAACGGAGCAGCGCAAATTGAAGAAACGGCAATGCAACTCGCGGAAAGACTGAGAAACTCAATTAACTGGCAACAGAGCATGCCAGTCTTCTTGCTATTGAGTTGCTGCGTGGTTTCCAAGAGTCAGCTGTTCTAAAACGCGCTTCGGTGGTTCATTTGTTCCTGGTTCCTGAAGATGGCACGGAAGGTTAACGAAGCTGCTAATTTTATTTTTGTGCAATTAGTGGAGCAAGAGCCAGGTATGTAAGACAAACGCCACCCACACTGTGCTAGGCAGGACAAATTAGAATTTCTCATGAGACGAAGGAGTCCGGATCCAGGTTAAGTTCTTTCGAAACAATATAAGCGCTTCAGTTTATATTGTCACAGAAGAAAGGATACACCCAATGTTTTCATAATATTGTATTTGAGCATCCTCTTGCATTAATATATAATTTATTTCACATACATTTCCGTCTTAAATACAGTCACCCTTTTCCCACATGGTTCGGCTATGTACGGCCATCATTAGATGTCTTCTAGTTTGCTAAAATTGTTGCACTGTATGTCAAAATTCCGTATCGCGTGTGAACGCGATATTTCCTGATTTAAATGAATTGAACTTAATTCAAATTAATTAACATCCCAATATTTTCCTTATGATCCTCGTCCTCTCTTCTCACGCTATCTCAGCCTGTCTCAACTACCACCATATTATGACAGGATCAGCATTATTATCTTCCATTGCAGAAGGCACGTGCACGAAATTAAAAAATACGCGCATTACGTCGGACGAATATTCCCACCCGAGATGATGTGAACAACTAATCAAACATAAGTTTCCTCAGTGTGTACCTGCTAAGCTGGAAACCAGTTCTCTGCTTTAAATCGGCGACATTTCTCGGAGTTTGTGGTTGCGTTGCGGTTCAAAATTTCCTTCGTTGACCGTCGCCCAAAGTTCCTTTTTGATTCCGGACGGAAGGTTATTGAAACTGTTGGTGTATAATTGAACATGCGAACTGAGAGTTAAAATTTTTTCAGGTTGTGTAGCTGATAAGGAATGGCGAGGCGATGAATAATGTGTGATCAGTTTTGTAGACAGACGAATAAATCATGGTAGAATTTTTTTTTTCAGAACCGAATATGTATTGAGGACAGGTACGGGACGTAAAGGAATGCATATTCTTTACATTCCGTGTTTCATGAGCAAAGAACAATTATGCCCATGTGCACGTTTCATGACGTACACCGATTGACCCACTAGTCACCATCGGTCACAATGTCCTTAATGGGGATGATGGGGATGTTGCAATCGTTTCTCTAACGATCAAGATGGTGACCTTGTCCACGGGCAGTGTTATTCTGGTGGTAATATTTTTATGCTACTTATGCTATAACAGAAAAATGGACAATAATTGGGTTTTAGAGTCTAATGAAGGTCAATTTATTCATTGCAGAATGTAGCCAAATTTTTGACGCGACGGGCATTTTCAACTTCAAGAATTGTCGAAGCGCAGCAGGTATGAAAAAAATTTTCCTTCTAAAGTTTCCTACTTCCGTTCTCTGTGCTTGTAATACTAAAATAAAATAATTAAAACAATATTCATCATGAAAATAGACCAGTATTTTGTTTAACTTGTATGTAAGTGTACGTCTTTGGTGTGTTAATATCACGTTTACATTGTATTCATGGCAACTTTAGCTGTTAACAGTCTGGATACAGAAAAAGTAATTAAATAACATACGAAAAGAAAGTTACCGTCAGAATGTATAACAACAAATATTGATGTTGTAATAAGAGCACTGCTTGTACAGGGTGGAAAGTGGGATTAAGAAGCTCTCTTTAATTCTGACTGAAATATTTCTTTGCAATGGTTAACACTTTTTGTGGTAAGTAGAAGATCATTGACTGGTTGGATGGTATATAGAACTTTCCTTTCTGGTATCTAACGAGGTTAGTTTTTGGTATGGAAGTCATATTTAAGTTCTGTGTTTGTGTTGTTTGTATCTCAGTTTGCCCAAAACTGTTCATGTTATCTACAAGAAAGCACATAAATGAAGATAAAAATGCCCAGACAAGAGACCATGTATTAAATTTCATGAATAGTTTTCAGCAAGAGACTTTGGTCTTAAAACGTAGCATAATTCTAACCATATCCTTTTTTGGTTTTAAATATGTCTGTCCAAGAGGAGTACTCCTTACAACATGATAAAAGTGGAAATAGGAATGTAAAACGATTTTAAAATATATATTTTTATGAGTGATGTGACTTTCATAGCAAAACATACTGAAATTAGTCTAAAGATGTATATTCAGTAAATGTTCCTTCAAAACACTAGTAATTACCTACCAGATTTTAATGTGTCATAAATTAGTTATTAACATGAATTTTCTATGTTGTGAAAACTTCATATCATAGTGAAGCTGGTGGCCATCCATGGCTTTTGGCTACCTGACTCCACCTACATAGGTAAGTAGTGCAGTTGGGGTTTTACAGATGTGGTTACTATCCCATGGTCTGACAAATGCCATATCAGTAAGTTATTAATGCAGAAATGGTGCTAGAGAATGAGGTAAAATTGTAATTTCAGTACTTGGAGATGTGTTAAATATACTGAGTTGCTTTTGGAGGCTTTTCAGAACATGCATTTCACAGTTGTACTAATGAGTAAAGGTATATAAGGCTGAATATTCATTTATAGAATGCAGTACACTGGATTAGTTTCCAGTTAACAAAGTTTATAAAACTGCCAGCAGTCAACGAATTGATTTTAGGCAGTTGTCCCAAAATAATGTGTTTTAAACAGAAAATTCCAAGTTTAAAACATCTTCCAAATTGTTGCAAACTGGCACTATCAAGGTCTATGTTGGGAGTGTTTAATACATGCTGTATCCTAGCATATATCCCATGCATTTCAAATTTTACAGATTTGGAATGAAAGTCCCATGGTCTGATAGGTTAACTAGCTTGCTATTCATATGATGCCCAGGATTCCATAGACAACTTTGAGCCCAAATATAGTAATAAAGCACGTATAGGTAAACGTGTGATGTGGTTCCTATTCTGAATGGTACGTAAGAAGCAGATGCGCTGTTGAAATTGCTTTTCAGTTTTGCTTTAAAGAAAACAAGGTAAGATTGAAATTGAATGGGGCATGTCTGCTTCTGGGCAATGTTGTTGATGTTAATTTATTGGGGAATGACATGACTACAACATAGAAAAAAACAGAAGCTCTAATAGAGTTAGTAAGGCGGTTGGTGTAGAAGAAAACACAGAAAAAAGAATGTGTTGTCTTATCACCAGAATTCAAACTGAAATTGTAACACGAAAGAGAGTGAATAGGTCCTTTGAAAATGTGGCAGAGTTAAAATATTTTGAAACAGCACTAAACAAATCAGAATTTGATAAATGAGGAATTAAAAGCAAATTCAATTCACTTAACTCTTTTAAATTCAGATCCTTTTGTCTTCTCATCTGGTGCCTAAAAACATTAAGATTAAAAAGTGCAAAAATATAATATTGTCTTTAGTTTTGTGTGAATATGAAACTTGGTGTCTTGGAATAAAGGAAGAACATAGACTGAGTGTGTTTGAGAAGGAGGTGCTGAGAAGAGTATTTAGATGTAAGAGGGATGAAATGATAGGAGGCTGCAGAAAAGTGCATATTGATAAGCTTTGTAATTTGCGCTTCTTGCCATATATTATTAGAATGATCTGGTCAAGGAGGGAGGATAAGATGAGTAGAGCATGTAGCATGCAAGGGAGAGAAGAATGTGCATATGTTTTTTTGGTAGGAAGATCTGAAGGAAAGAGACTGGTAGGAAAACCCAAACATTATTGGAAGGATAATACTATTAAAATTGGTCTTAGAGAAATAGGTTGAGCAATGGTGTACTGAACCCATAAAGTGAATGCTGTATACTGCTACATTCTTTTGTGTTTATTGTGGTTTTCTGGTTTTTGACACTGGAGGATCATATTGTCTCCATTTCCTGAGTAGAAGTGAGCGAGGATTGGATGGCGGCAGCTTATAGAAGAGAAGTGGAAGTAGTGGGTAGAAGGGGAGTCACTGGGCAGGGCCAGGATACGGAGGAAAAGATGATGTTTTTGTAGGCCAGTGGGAACTGTAGATGTTTAGAAGAGCAGAAACTTCAGGACATGAGACCATGAGGCGGTAACAGTGAAAGAGGATCATGCCTTTAAAAGAGCGACAACAAAAGGGCTCTTATGAGGACCATGGAGTGGAAAGCCAAGTCAGCACTTGTCCTTTGTTGCTCTTAGGTGTTATAGAAGTTTTGTGGTATGTTTAATTTGAATATTGTGTTTTTGTTTTACAGATGACAGTACGAGATGCTCTCAATACTGGTTTGGATGAAGAAATGGAGCGTGATGAACGAGTGTTTCTTCTGGGTGAGGAAGTGGCAATGTATGATGGAGCCTATAAAATATCACGTGGACTGTGGAAGAAATATGGAGACAAAAGAGTTATTGATACACCAATAACAGAAATGGGATTTGCTGGAATAGCAGTTGGAGCTGCAATGGTGTGTTAACGAATAATAGAACTAAGCACTTACCATATCAATAAGTCACTGTATTTCACTCATAACTGATTCAGTGTGTTGAAAATTAATCACACCTGTAATTGTGTTACTTTGACATAATACTAAACTTTTAAATCTTTTGTATGATTTTCAGTTTTATTTAACCGTTCAGCGTGGTTTGACGTGTATGTTTCGTCAGGTATTTAAATTGTCTGCGGGGGTTCGACGTCTATGTTTCGTCCAGCTGCACACCTATGTTATAACGCCCATAATAATTGATGGTTTTGCTGTAGATTGTTAGATTTTTTGCTGGCCTGTTGTCAGTAGAACAGAGGATAATAAGCCACGAGTTTAGCTGCGCTAAGTCATCGTTACATATGCCTGTCTTGCAGCAAAGTTCCTGTTGCTCTTGCGAGCGGTTTCCTCGTTCAAGCTGTTATGAATGGCGTGTTTTCTTTGCTATGAAGTAATAAACAGCAGAGACGTGATATGTGCTGTGTTTATAATATCATATTGCCCTGAGCTGGCCACACTAACACACTCAATTGGAATTCTTAGAAGAGGGGTGTCCAAAAATTTATTCTTGCACGATCGATTGATTTCGCACAGTACATAGCACCCAGTTCTTAGAAAAATGTCACGAATTAAGGCAGAACACTGTGGTCACCCCCTATGACGATCCTGGTGTGTGTGTGGGGGGGGGAAGAACTCATTCCTTCATGTACTATCGCTCCAGTTGACGCAATTTTATC